TAGTTTAACTGTTAGTTAACATGTAGTTTAACTGTCAGTTAACATCTAGTGGACTGTTAGTTAACATGTAGTTTAACTGTTAGTTAACATGTAGTTTAACTGTTAGTTAACATGTAGTTTAACTGTTAGTTAACATGTAGTTTAACAGTTAGTTAACATGTAGTTTAACAGTTAGTTAACATCTAGTTTAACAGTTTACATCTAGTGAACTGTTAGTTAACATCTAGTTTGACTGTTAGTTAACATCTAGTTTAACTGTTAGTTAACATGTAGTTTAACTGTCAGTTAACATGTAGTTTAACTGTCAGTTAACATCTAGTGGACTGTTAGTTAACATGTAGTTTAACTGTTAGTTAACATGTAGTTTAACTGTTAGTTAACATGTAGTTTAACAGTTAGTTAACATCTAGTTTAACAGTTTACATCTAGTGAACTGTTAGTTAACATCTAGTTTAACTGTCAGTTAACATCTAGTTTAACTGTCAGTTAACATCTAGTGGACTGTTAGTTAACATCTAGTGAACTGTTTACTTTTCATAATGTTCCTGTGAGAAATATCTCATTAAAAAATCACGTCAGTCTTCACAGGTGCATTTAAATATTTATTGTCAGTTCACAGAGAAGCAACGTGAGAAAGGTCTGAGTCAGCCCCATGACGGCAGGTCGGTGACACCTGTCAGAAAACAAAGAAATGTCTTAAAGACAATCACTTCACACAACTCTGGACAATAAGCCATGTTTAGCAGCGGGACAAGATAAAGTCTGCTGCTTACTGTTTAGTGTAACGTACAGTCATGTTTGCAGAAATATTTGTATCTTTAAATACAAAAAGAAAAGGTTTTAGAACCAGTGGTTTCAGTACGAACAAACCCTGGTGGCCAAAGTAAATATTACAGCAGGGTTCAGATGTTATTTTGTGTTTTTCATGTGTGGGGCACGGTGGTGCAGTGGATAGAGCTGTCTCCTCACAGTGAGAAGGTCTGTGTTGGTCAAATGTATTATGCCGGATGCCCTTCCTGACACAACACAGCATTTATCGAGGTTTGGGACCGGCACCATGGATACACTGGCCTGTTGTCCATAGTGGTGCGTTTAGGGCGTGGTCAATCCCCAAACATTAAAACATCAACAACATGTGTGCCTTCCTCTCATGTTCATGTCATGTTCTCTTACTGTTTAACATTTATACAGTCTGTTCAGTCTGTCGATGTCATTCTTGCTCATCTGAGTGGCCGTTCCAAAGGGAACGTTCGGATCAGGAATGGGCACCATTGTAGGCTGATTGTTTGCAGAAAAAGCGTATCTAGAACAATTGGAGAACTTGGTTAGTTTCTACATAATAGAAACAAACAAAAAATGAAAATGGTTGAATGAAGGCTAGAAGAGAAATGATGGTAAGCAGCATCTCCATACCTGTGGTACTGCATGACAGAGTTGTAGTCGTAGGGGGTATTCATGTTCAGAGTGTTGAGCTTATCAAAAGCATACGCCAAACCTGAGAAAACACAATTTACAATAAAGCTCAGTAAAAACTGAAGAGCTGTTTCTGCGCATGTTGTTAAGATTAGTTGGTCATTGCAATCCAGGCTTTCTGAGTGCACGGTCCACCCTACAGGTTCTGTGTGCAGGGACTGATTTCCACAGGGTAGCTAACATGGATACTTAGAAAAACACATTCGTGTTGGTCAAGCACTAATTAGGTACGCTGTCTACATACATATTACGCATGCTTGATGACCTTGAACGTATTACACATGCTTGATGACCTTGATAATGTGGATGTGCATTTCTGAGCAGCCTAGCCCTGAAGACCTAGACCTCTTTTAAGCTCATTGTGGAAAACTTGGTAAAGAAACTGAAAGTTAAACTGGGTTTCTTTTTCAGAGACAGATCCTGTCTAACTCTGAACCCTGAGGAACGCCTTGTATCTGTGACTTTCCTTCCCTCCATTGATCACGGTGACATTATTTACATGAACGCTCCTACAAGAACCCTGCAGATGTTGGATGCTGTCTATCATGGTGCACTAAGATTCATAACTGGCTGTAACTACCGTACCCACCACTGCACCCAGTATTCACTGGTTAACTGGTCACCATTAACTTCACACAGACTCTCTCACTGGTACATTTTCATCTTTAAATCACTTCCTGGTCTGCTGCCTTCATACATCTCCTCCTACATGTCTCTGTGTGAGTGCAGCTACAGCGTGCGCTCTCAGGACATCATTACCTGCAGTGTTCCCTCAGTGAGGACTGAACTAGACAAAAGGACCTTCTCCTACTCCGCTCCTGTTTCCTGGAATATCTTGTAAAAATACCTGAAGCTCTCGACTTTTGACCTCTCTAAGTGGCTTCAAACATCTGATAAGTTCCTGCAGATGTTCCTGTTTTTAGTTTTTTACACCGTCTTATAATCCGGCTGTTTTTGTTTGTTTGTTTATACCATTTTTTCATTTATTTTTCCCAATTTGTATGCCTCTTTTATGATTGTCTATTGTTGTCATTATTCTTTGTTAAAAACAGGCCTCTCTATAAACGAGTCCTCGAGGCTCAGTGACACTAACCTGTAGAAATAAAGGTTGAATGAGGTCAAGGTCGAGAGCTTCAGATAGTCTACATTCAGAGAACCTGGGTCACACTGAAACCAACCATCGTCTACTGTGTAAAGACTTTCGTTCCTCCCGTCATAGTCCCTTTGCAGGGGAACTCTGAGGGTTGGGGTGGATATGAAGAGGTGTGCATGATTGGCAAACATGCACACAGGAGAAAGGGTGGTTTGCTCACAGTCTGGCTGCTTGGATCAGGTTTTCTGACGAAGCAATGTTCAAGTGACTAAAACGTTTTTTTTATTGGTGAATGGAAATGCCAAAACTAACATATTATTGTCTTGTTAAATACTGGTGATTGTATAGACCATAAAGCTATTGAATACAATAATTATTGTATATCTGGCAACACGGCTTTCACAATGTAGAGATTGTAGATGGGGTTGACACAATAGAGAATTTCTGTGTCATTCACATGTCAACAAATTCATCAAGCAAGTCCAGTTCAGTGGCCTCAAGAGTCTGTTTTTGCTCTTTGCAGATGACATGGTCCTGTTGGCGTCATCGTGCCATGATCTCCAGCTCTCACTGAAGCAGTTCACAGCCGAGGGTGAAGCAGCTGGGATCAGCACCTTCATTCTGAGGCAGTGGTCTTCAGTCAGAGGGTGGATTGTTCTCTTCAGGTCCAGGGTGAGGTTCTGCCTCAAGTGGAGGAGTTCAAGTATCTCTGGGTTTTGTTCATGAGTGAGGGAAGAATGGAGCGTGCGATTGACAGACGGGTTGGTGCAGCGTCTGCAGTATTGCAGACTCTGTGCCGGTCTGTTGTGGTGAAGGAGCTGAGCTGTAAGACAAAGCTCTCTGTTTACCGGTCGGTCTACGTTCCTCCCCTCACCTCTGGTCATGAACTCTGGTAGAGACTGAAAAAATGAGATCGTGGATCCAGGAGGTTGAAATGAGTTTCCTCTGCAGAGCTGGACTCTCCCTCAAAGATAGGGTGAGAAGTTCAGGTATCAGGAGAGACTCAGACTAGAACCACTTCTCCTCCACATCCAGAGGAGACAGTTGAGGTGGTTCAGATTTATGGTGAATGGTAAATGGACTGTACTTGTATAGCGCCTTTATATTTTATTTCAAGACACTCAAAGCTCTTTACAACAATCTGTGTCCTCCCATTCATACAGCTCTCTACTAGATCTCTACAAAGATAATTGAACAAATCATTCTAAAGAGACTAATCAGAGGTTTACATCAGAGGCAATGAGGGTTCAGTGTCTTGCCCAGGGACACTTTGACATGTGACTGCTGGTGGATTCGAACCCCCAACTCTCGCATTGGAGGACGACTGCTCTAACCACTCAGCCACAGCCGCCTTTATGGAAAGAACGCCCCCTGGACACCTGCCTAGGGAGATTTTCCAGGTATTTCTGACTGGAAGGAGAAACTGGAGAAGATCAGAGACAGACTGGAAAAACTATGTCTCTTAACTGGTCTGGGAACATCTTGGAGTCCTCCCAAATGAGCTGGAAGAGGTGGCTGTGGAAAGAGATGTCTGGACCTCCCTGCTCAAGATGCTGCAATGGATGGTTGGATGAATGGATGGATGGATGGTTGGATGATGGATGGTTGGATGAATGAATGGATGGCTGGTTGGATGATGGATGGATGATGGAAGGATGGATGGATGGTTGGATGATGGATGGATGGTTGGATAATGGATGGATGATGGATAGATGGTTGGATGGATGGATGGATGGATGGTTGGATGATGGATGGATGGTTTGGATGATGGATGGTTGGATGATGGATGGTTGGATGGATGGATGAATGGATGATGGATGGATGGTTGGATGGATGGTTGGATGAATGGATGGATGTTGGATGATGGATGGATGTTGGATGGTTGGATGATGGATGGATGGTTGGATAATGAATGGATGATGGATGGATGTTGGATGGTTGGATGGATGATTGGATGGATGGTTGGATGGATGGATGGTTGGATGGATGATTGGATGGATGGTTGGATGGTTGGTTGGATGGATGATTGGATGGATGTTGGATGGATGGATGGTTGGATGGATGGATGTCAAGAAATTAGTTTCATATTGGAACTTGGATGTGGGATCGATTACACAGGACAGTGAAGCTTCAGTCGTTGATAAAAACATCAGCTTCTACTGATGTTCAACCAGTTCAACCAGTTCAACCAGTCAAATCATGTGCCTGTCAGTCAAAGTAACTTATTTTTAAATGTGGCATTAAACTGATCATTTTCTCCGGTTAAGACAGATGAAGATTAAGATTGAAGGCGTCAGGTTTCATGAGTCAGACTCTCACCAGACTGGATGTTCTCCCACACGACTCGGATGTACTGATCTCTGTCGGAGCGGCACTGCTCGTGGTTGAAGCCGAGGGCGTGGAGGAGCTCGTGCTGGACGGTGCTGTGGTAAATGCAGCCCTGACGGTCCAGAGACACCGTCTGGGCAGAACCACGACGGCCAACGTAGGAGTAACAGCTGTGTGTCCAACCAAAACACAACACTGGTTAAAGCACAGTTCCTAAAATCACAAACATCTACATAAGTTTTATCAGCTGGTCAAAAAACCCCAACCCCAACTAGTCCCTACCAGCATCATAAAGTTCCCAACTAGTCCCTAC